CCTGACCTGCTTCCTCACATTGCCTGTGTAATTTAAACCCAATTTTCCCCAGAACAGGTTTCTGAGATACAGTTAAACTCCTCAGCAAACTGATGGATGCGAGCAACAGGCACGCAGTGACACGTAACAGCATTATCGAGCATCTGCAAACATGCCATTAATTTTACACGGAAGGAAAGAGGTCAGGAGAGCACTGGCCAGAGGAAAATGAAGAGCTTCCCAAATGCTCTTTCTGCACTCGCCTTTGCAATGAATGCCCCCAGAGAGGGGAGGAATGCATCTTTATATTGACGAAAGCAGGATTCTCCATGAAGCATTAAACTCCCATGGCAGGGAGATGTGCCTCTAACGAAGTTAATAAAAATGGCTGAAGAAAGTAAATCACTCAGCTCCTCTCCCTTTATAGATTTCTGTTCCCAATCGTCCTCCTTTGGGGACTGTGGAGACCTGCCAGCTAATTTTGTGGACAGGATGGCTTCTAGGCTTGCCTCTGATCTGCAAATGATGTTATAATTTCTTCATAATTGTTTACTGTATAAAGTCAACATCTTTCTCTCCAGAGGGAGATTGCTCAGAGTCACTCATGCGAGCCTTTTAGCTCACAGTTGTGGGCCTCCTGTGGTCTAGACAACATACTCATGTCAAGGTTAATGTCATGTCAAGGCACTATTAGTAGCTCCTTTCCTTGCATGGTTATTCTTTCAACTGTAAGAAAATTAATGCAATTTAAAGTTACTTCTAGAGCATTCTTGGCTGGCCTTTACGGTTATTGCAATTACATGGACAGAAGTTTCAAGGTTTCCGAGAGTACTGTGGGAGTAATTGCAATTGTGAGGAAAAACTAGATTTCAGTTTGTGCTCTGAAAGCACAGAACTGAAAGCAATCACCTCCACATTCAGTCCTGGCAGAGAGATGGACTCTGCCCGTGACCTCTGTCGTGCCACCTGAGCTTCATATTGGAACTTTCCCATTGCATCCCCATCTGTAAAAGTGAGATAATGCTTTTTATCAACTTCATGGGGATTTTATAATTCAATGTTCATTAAGAGAACAGAACTGCAAGCCCTTCTGTGCTACTGCTAAATGCAAAACTTCCCTAAATCTCGAGGAACAGAGTCCCAACACAGAACCCTCAGGCCACACTGAGAGAGAAGACACAGCTCCTCTTCTTTTATTACAAAGTCAATAATTTAAGAATATTCTTGCTGACTGCCTTGAAACCATCCTTTATATGTCCCTGGGCAGAGCTGGAGGCAGCAAGGTTTGCATGTCAACAGTTGTTTTGTTGACTGGTTCAGTAATACCACGGGCAGCAAAGCACCTGACTGTGCTGATGCCCTGGGCAAGACGCTCCTCTTTGTGTTATTCCAATACCAGAGTCAGGCTTATGTAACTGATTAAATAAATAAAAAAATAAATCTCTATTCTTTGTCTTACATTTATGATCTTACAAGTGTAGCCATTGCGCACTACCCATGCTGTTTCAAGGCCTGACTTGGACTTGGTCAGATTTATCCTTAGGCGGTCTCCCTCCGCCAGGGCCACTGCTGGCTACAGGGTTCCCTATATTCAAAAGAACCAAAATGCTATATTCTTCCTGAAAAACATTTGGACACTCTAATTGTCTCCCTAGGTTTCTATGACAACCACAGCAATATAAACAGCCTTGCTGGCAGCCATAGGAGACTGAAATCTCTGCTCTCTTCCCTTCCCTCCCCTCCCCAGAACTTCTCAATTTAGAACATACCGTAACCGAATAAATATGATTAACAATAAACATAGAGGTGGTGTCTAGTACACCAGACTGGCACTAGGGAAACTTCTTGCAACTAAAAATACATTACAGTATTTTACGATAACAGTCAAAACATTGCCTGTTACGTCAGTGTTATCGAAGTACCTTGGGATCAACTGTGAAGAACAGTGCAAAGCTATAAATATATAAACAGGAGGGTTATCCATGTCAGCTTGCACGGCTGCAGAGAGAGCTTTAAAAAAATATGACAAAGCCTTCTCTGTTGGTGCCTCCAAGCAGCTCTCACCTTGTTGGTAGGTTACACATCAGGAATAGATAAACCCCTGAGCGAACGTCAGGACGGTTGGGCTTAAGATGGCTGCAGAGCTATGTGGCTGCGTGCACATCGTGTGGTGTGACTGAAGGCAGCTCTCCATGGCTGCAGCTCCCGGCTTTCCAGCAGAAAAATCATAAACAAAATGCGATGGTGGCAGCAGCAGTGAAATGCTCTGTACAGCACCGTCAATCCGAGCCCAGCAGAAGCTGTTTCTCTGAACCTCTTGCATCAGGCAAGGTAGTCAGAGCTGCTGCTTTTGCTAATGCTCAGGCAAACTGAGGTCCAACAAATCCCAAACAAATAGCTCAGGTCTTTCTTCTCTCCTGAGCAAAATTAATGGCAAAATAAATCGGCTGTATGAGGCCAGCGTAACTCTGGAGGTTTTAAGCCATTTAAACCCGTTCAGCCAATACTGGATGGCATGAAGCCATCAGGATACACAGGAGTTATAAAGAGGCTGCATGTGATAATTATGGTTATCAGCTGTACATAGATCACAAAATCATCTTTCAAATTATTAAATCAGTTTCTGATCGTAAAAATGCCATGTATTTTTAAAATAACTGCCACTGTATGTCTAGCTCATGACAAAGTAACTTTGTGAAACAAAGGGATGCAATTTCAAGCATCAGCATGGACGTAATTTCTTCACAGGTGCTGTTAGTTTGTCTTAGGCACTTGTTCTCCCTATGCTGCCAGAAAGATGCAGACGACTCCTGCTGCTCTGAGACACAACTGGGGATGTAACTACGCTGTTTTCACTGCAGCAATCTTCTCGCTTGGCGGGGAAATCCTACGGCTTTGTGGGAGCAATTTTGGTGTAAAGCAGACTCAGGATTCGAGGAAGCAGAGCTGGGGGGGTACGTGAATGTGAACCCTTGGAAGCCAAAACCTATGGGGATTCCCTCTGGACCAGTATGAAGAAATACACCTATCTGGGAGGAGGAGGAGGAGGAGGAGGAGGTGAAATGCTTGCCTGTTCCACAGGGCTTGGAAGGCACAGAAGGTGCCACCTGACATTTCACAGCTTGAAGGACCGGCTTTTATAAAACTGCCTGATTACACAGACCAAGTGGAGACGAGATTAGAAATTAATGAAATAAACACCAGAAATAGGGATGAACGTATAACCTTTGGAAAAAGAAATGTGGAATTTCTTTGGTTTTCTTTCTTAAGGCAGAACTTTCACTCTAATGACTAACAATATAACATTAAAATTGTTCAGTTTTCTCTTGAAAGATTTTGAACAGGGTCTTTATACTATGGAATTATTGTACAATATGGAAATATTGTATTTTGCAATATAGAAAGGAAGTATTTCTCCTTTCCTATCTAATTTGCTCCAATAGGCTGTACAGCAAGGAGGATTATGTGAGAGTGAATATAAAAGGATTACTGATGCCCACATTTACTACGTTATACAATAAGACTGCCTAATAAATAAAGTTTGATTTTCTCTCTCAACTATTCGTAACAAGTTTATGTTTCCATTTACGTCTTCCTGTGTGTTAGCATGATTTTGCTAACTACAGACACGCTACTTAAAACTACAGCATATATGAAATGAATGTTGACCAGGAATACAAAGACAGATCTGTTAATTTACAAATATGAGAGTCCAAGTGTTGGAGAGCATATCAGGATATTAGGTAATATGCAAAGTATGTTGTATAATGCACCATTGAAGATAGTCACAGAAAAAGCAAGAAGGATGAGATTTTGTACTTTTCACAGTTATTTATTAATAAACAGTCATAGCCCCCAAATGATCACAGTGCTTTTAAATTAAGATTACAAAGCATATAAGCTACCCTCTTCTGTATCTGGAAAGAACTACTAGGCATAACATTCTAATAGTATTGAAATCAAAAGGAGGGCAATTTTAGAGTCATTTTAAATCAATGATTTTACAATTAGTAGATATTTTCATACCTTCCAACCTCTGTCCAATATGACTCACTGCCACTAAGGCACTTGGTTTTAACTTCTGAGAAATACACATGAAAGTTAAAAAAAAAAAAAATAAAAAAGCCCAAACCACCACACGAACCTTTGCATATTTCCCAGGTATGTTTATGGTGTGTGGGTGGCATAGGTGAATTATGGCGAGGAGGTTTTATCAGCAGTAATTACACATTTTATCAGCAGTAATTATGTAATTCCCTTGTGGCACTGACCCATTCTAAACTCTAATCCAAGCCCTAATCATTATTAAAGTATTGATAAAGCCTTTACAGGATGTTGTTCCAACTCATAAAACCATTCCTTAAGAACAGTCAATACTTCAGAAAACCTGAAGATTGCTGTGACTTCACAGGGAATCTTTGTGCTGCTTAAGAAAAAGAGGCGTGATGTATTTTGCAGTTGCATTAGGACTTTTCTATGAATGCACACATTTTTACACTCCAAGTGCAACGCATGGCATGACACCGCTTTTAAGCACAGGAACACAGAAATCTGTGGCCACAATCCATGCTTTTGACAATTTGAACTTTTCAGATTTTTATCATTTTAGATTATTCAGCTGAGCAACTTGGTTTCTTTAGTAGGCCAATATTAAAAGTGTGGTTTAATTAAAGCATTTAAAAAGAAAATTAATTCAGAGGGCTTTAAGTGTATACCTAGGGAATATGCCCCTCAAATGAATGAAGACATCAGGGAAGAGTAATTTTCCTAATTGCTAGTGTACTTTTGCCATACTTTCTAAGTGGCAGATTACACCGAACTGGCTGCATATATCAGGGTCAAGGCTTTTATTTAGAACAGTTGTTAGAATGTAATTGCCCATTTTTGACAATGCCAAGTTATTTTTTTCTTCCAGAACACCCTAAGCATAACATTTTATGTAAAAGCAAAAAGTGTTCTCAATAGCACAAAATACACCGTCAGTAGAGCATAAGACCAGAAAATCTTGAAAAGTGACATACCTGCCCCACGCTGCTTTCATGGTAGAATCTTTATCAACAGGAATGCATGAGGACTCAACAACACTTGATTTATTCAATTTGTAGCAGAGACCACAGTCTGGATCTAACATACATCCATTACAATAACTGAAAGAGAAAGAAAGAAATACTTAAGCAACACTTTATTCATTTGTATGTGTCAAAACCAACAGCATCTCCTAATCAATCTTGGGATGCACAAAGTCAAGTTGTCAGTGTTGGAGACAAGATAATAGAAACTGCCCAAAAACTAATACAGATTGCTTTTGCCTTCTTCTGTACCACATTTTGGTGGCCCACTTGCAAATCTCGCAGTGACACCTGATCAGGCTGTAGGAGAATTCACTTGTGGAATGAATTTAAATTAAAAAAAGACAGATTGGGGTTGAAAAGAAAGAATCATACATCATACCTAATAAACAAACTAGGATTTGGGCACATACAGATGTGGGAGTCAGTCTGAGATCACGACACCATGTGTCTCCATGTGGGAACTAGGCGCCTGAGCTCCCATTATATTTGATAGACGGAGCCAATATGTCAATGGAGCCGATTCATATACAGGCATCTAGTGCCCAGAAACATCCCGGCCTGCCCTTCACCTGCCAATGCAGAGTATGCAGTGCTCTTGCAGATCATTCTCATGCATCACACTTGCCAGCTCCATACAGATATCTCTGATTTCCTTGGTAGTCTCAAAGAGCAAGAGATGCTTACATTTACGCAAAGTTTCCTCAATGCAATCTTGCAAGCTATTCAAGTGACTAGACGATAAAACTGTTCTCTAGACTCCACTGGTTACACTGACCACATCCCCACTGACTACTGGGAGCCTAGACGCCAAGTGCCCTACAGATACCTCACTTAGGTGTCAGTCTAAAACCTGCCTCTGAGAACAAACTGAGTGGATTTGGGCATGTGAGCTATGAAGACATTCCAAAACCCTTCATGCAGTGCAAGTTATCTGAAAGCTTCTGGCACAAGCTTCGCCAGATCTTGCAAACACTCAAGACCATTGCTGCTGTGGTTAAACTACCCAGGTGTTTATCTTCCCCAGAAGCCATCTCAGATTCAGAGATACATCCTCATCAGTAAAGCCTCTGATATATTCTAAAGGGTAACTTTAGGAGTTAAAAATAGGAGAACGAAAAACTGTAAAACATGGAGTAAGTCTGGAAATTTGAAACTAAAATTAAACTTTGAAATGTTACATCTGGAAATGTATAATTAAGGTGACAAAAATAGCTTCAACATATATCCCTGTAACAACAAAACCAAGGAAATAATCCTTTCTGAGTGTGTATCTTTATCATAACAATGACTTAGTGAATGAAGAAATAATCTGCTTAAACTACTATACCATTATGAGAAAAAGTAAAAGTTTCTGTATAACCAAGTCCCAAGAAAATGTATCAGTAAAGCAGATTATATGGATTTAAAAAGTCTGAAAGTACACATTTAAAATCTAGTCATTTAAACTTCTCTTACTATGAGGTTTCTAAAAGAGTTATAATAAGGTCAATTCATATGGTAGTTGGCAAAAAAAGAGGGCTGGGAAAGTGTTAAAAACAGTGTATTCATTTGCATTTTCCTACTTCTCCCAAGTTTCAGAAATTTGTGCTCTTTGTTATTGTGTGCTTTCTAAATTATCAAATTACTGCAGAATTTCCATGTTGTCTACTTTTTAGAAAATAAACCTATTTTAAGTACACCTTCCTCTTGCTTAACTGATAGGTCAAATTCAGGTTTGAACAGCTTTTGTTTATTTTATATTAGGAAAGCTGCATTAAATCAGCTCTTTAAATAGAAATATAAACTGCAGAAAACATTTTTACAATGGAGATGAAGCAAAACTTTCAGGTAGAAGTCAATCACCTAACTGTAGTAAACATTCCTTCTCTTGCAAAGATAAATGAGAAAATTATAACTCTGCAATTATCAATTATGAAAGGAAAGGACAATTCCAGTATTACATTATCAAGACTTAGTTACATTTTGTTAATCAATATTAGGACAGCAATGGGCAGCAACCAAAGCAGTTGACAGGAACAGAAGACTGCAGATGAATAAAGACATTTTTATAAATTACAAGTGTGTTTAAGTATGTAATGATAATATTAAAAATAACTAAAAAATTATAGCATCTTCTAGTGAAAAGAATCCTATAATATCAAACAGGATGCTGATATGTGATTTTCAAATTGTAGAACATCTTCCACTCAAATTATGTTGTATATCAAAGTACCTTTCAACAACATGAATTTCTAAAAAGACCCAGGGTGCTAGCACATCCAGCATAGCAGCCTGGCAGAGAAAGCAGACATTTCCAAATACTACATGCTATCAAGAGCAGCAGTGGATTTTTAAGTCAACTATATGCAAATTATATTCAATGTGAACACCATGTGCAAAATTTAACACATTAAAGTGGTCTTTCTCTTTGGAAAATTTCAGGATTCAAGGTCTCTCTAGGTTTATTCTTTTTAGGTTTTACTTCAAGCAGAAATATAGTCAAATATCCAACACCAGCCAGAACATCAGCAGGACACAGGAATGCAGAAGAATGACAATTAGACACAGCGATGACTGTCATTTTTATAGTGTTGCCAGCAGAGGACAGGATGGGGACTGGACGCTTCATCATTTCCCTCAGTGTCCTCACAAAAATCAATGCATGAGATGAATGACAGAACTGAACTGTGCATTGTCTGTTCTGTCCTGTGGGGCTCACTCTACGGTTAACTCCACATAACCTCAGATGGCGTTGGGTATCAGTAACCAGCCAACTGGGAAGCAGAAGATATCTTATTTGTTCCTCCCCCCCAGCCAGCAGTCCAGAGAAAAACTCAAGAAATTTGATTATTGATTCCAATGTCGGTCTACAGGGCTGTTAGTTCAGCTGTTCCTCGGGCTTTATTGGATATGCACAACTGTGTCTTCCAGTTGGCATTCAACAAAATAAAGGCTGCTGGATTTCATGTCATGCCAAATGTCAGAGGTTATAGTTACTCATAACAGTTTAAATAATTTAAAATTATTATTTTCCACAGCTTTTCTGAAGCTTGTCTTTCAGACTGAAAAGTTAAATGACAAATATTTATAAACCCTTTACCTTTGGGTTAGGATTTGCTGTCATTAGCTATATAGCGAGTTCATACAATCAGGCTATGACTTTAGGTTTTAGAGACAAGACCAATTTATGTCAGAGGAAATTCAGCAATTCAATATACAAGACTTGAAGCCCTTTCAAATTTAACTCCCAGCAGACTTAGGGTAGGCGGCTGCTGTTCAGATCATCTAGCATTCTTCTGTGCCCCGTTTTATCAGTGATATAAAATTTTTATGTTGACTTTGATGAGGTAGATAGTCATCGCTTTTTCCAAGATGAAGATAGATGTTTTTTTCTTCCAAAATTCCAACATATACACATTACAACTGTTTCATAACACAGTAAAGAAATCTGTATCAGTTGATAAAAACTAATGATCACTGAAGATGCAGCATGAAATAAGCACGGAATTTTTTTTTTTTTAAGAAGCAATTTTAAAACAACCAAAAAAAATCATGTGCTGAGGCTATTCACTCTAAATTTCTCTCTCAAAAAATGGAAATAAAATATATAGTAGTTTCAGGCTTATGCTCTTCTTCACTCTAGCCCCATTGCTATTTGCTAAACAAAAATATTTAAACAATTTGAAATTCAGCACATATTCACATGCTCATAGTGATGTAAATAAATTAGGACACAAAATATACCAGGAAAAGAAATGCACAATATAATACTTATTGACATTTAACTATCTACTACAGATCTCCTTCCTGTCCTCAAACGTACCTTCTTATCAGCACTACCCAGATATACCCAAACATATGTCAGAGTATAAGTCTGTAAAAATACTGATACTTCTTCAAATCTACACCACAGATCAGTTATGGCCTTGAAAGCTCTATACCAGAATACTCCAGGATATCAATGTTAAGAAGGAAATTTGCATCCAATTATAAATGGGAGATATGTTTGCTGCACTTTATCATGAAATATTTATATCCATGTTAAGGTTATGAGCTAGTGTCTTGGAAACAGGTTCCCCTGTGAAGAGCCAGTTGAAAATTCCCAGGCAGGATGGTTCTCAATCAGAGACTGACTGATTGAAATACCTGAGAGAGATGATTTGATTTTGATGAAACCAGGCAGCACTACAGCACAAAGGTTTTACAATGTGCCTAGTTCCCTCTCTGCTTACCAGCTGGGCTCCTAGGCAACCCAACAAGAAGGCAAGCATCTAGACTTCAGATGCTTCAGCCTATGTAGCAGAGTAACAACCACCAGGAATGTGAGGCTCCAGAAGTCCAAAGATGCTCAGATTCTTTGAAGCTCAGTGGCATGAAGTCTACAAAACAAAAGTTGCAGTAGCCTGGCCCCTCAGTTTATTGAGAACTGCCACAGCATGGGATTTAAGGGTTCCTGCCTCATTGTCAAACCACGTTTACTGACAAGCTGGTAGACCGTTAGGAGACTAGATATCCCCAAACCTGCAATTCCCAACTCTGATTCTGCCAATTTGGTCAAGGCTTCCATGCTCTTATATCCTTTTCATCTGACCAAATGGGAATATTTGATGTCTAGAAAGCCTGACAGCACTAACTTCAAGGTCCCTTGCTAGCAATTTCTTGCCAGCCTGAGCACCACCAGCTTTCAGGATGCTCTGCTCTGGAGCAGCCTGCCCAATGAACTGTTCCTGAGGTTACAGGTTGATGCCAAAGGTCACAATTCCTTCCTCTTTCACAGAGAATTTAAAGTATATAGAAGAATTATTAATTGGCTAGCTGTGCATGTTTTTCTTGATACCAAAATTACTGGTTTTTTTCTCCTTAACAGTGTAGTTTACTAGCCTCTAGTGCAGTCTCTAAAAAGACTGAATAAAATCTCTGACCTGCTAAAGTGACCCTCCAGTTGCCAATGAAAAGTTCACAATTGCTTCTTCCCCGCTCTTCTCCCACTTCTTAAAATACTCCATACTTACATTTGGTTTGTCATTATATTTTGTGCTTTAAATTTGTAAAATGACCTTGTAAGTAATGACTTTCCTACAATTCTCAGGAGTCTC